TGGAGAGCCCGACCCAAAGTCCCCAGGCTCCTCTTCTTCTATGGAAGACATGCTGATGGGATTGAGTAAGTCTTCAAAGTACTCTGCTCACCGACCCACGACGTCCTGAGATGAGGTCAGCAGCACGCCACCTCCAATATAAACAGCGTTGGTGGTGTACTGTTTCCCCCCCACCACCACCACCAACCCCCCTAACCACCGAGATGATGGTCTGTTCCTTTTAGCCTAATTTACACTGCCTGGCCCAAAAAAAATTCACCACCAAAACAAAGGTCACACACTAATATTTTGTTGGACCACCTTTAGCTTTGATTACTGCATGCATTTGCTGTGGCATTGTTTCGATAAGCTTCTGCAATGTCACAAGATCTTTTTGCATCCAGTGTTGCATTAATTTTTTCACCAAGATCTTGCATTGATGATAGCAGATTCTGACCACTGCACAAAGCCTTCTCCAACACATCCCAAAGATTCTCAATGAGGTTAAGGTTTGGACTCTGTGGTGGCCAATCCATGTGTGAAAATGATGTCTCATGCTCCCAGAACCACTCTTTCACAATTTGAGCTCTATGAATCCTGGCATTGTCATCTTGGAATATGTTCGTGCCATCAGAGAAGAAAAAATCCATTGCTGGAATAATGCGGTCCTTCAGTATATTCAGGTAGTCAGCTGACGTCATTTTTTGAGCACATCCTGTTGCTGAACCTAGACCTGACCAACTGTAGCACCCCCAGATCACAGTACTGCCCCCACAGGCTTGTACAGTAGGCCCTAGGCATGATGGCTGCATCACTTCACCTGCCTCTCATCTTACACTGATGCACCCATCACGCTGGAACAAAGTAAATCTAGACTCAGTCAGACCACATGACCTTCTTCCATTGCTCCAGAGTCCAATCTTTATTCTCACTAGCAAACTGAAGCCTTTTTTTCTGGTTAGCCTCACTGATTAGTGGTTTTCTTAAGGCTACACAGCTAAGAATCGAGAAGCAACTCATTGCATCAGTTGGCGTTAAATAACTTGTTGCCAGCCGAAAGATAATCGCCCATACAGTAATTATCCAATAGGAGGCTCGTACCTATTTGCTTAGTTAAATCCAGGTGGCAACATTTTTTGGGGGCCAGGCAGTGTATGTGTTCATTATGTGTTAGTTTGTGTTAGATCCAACGTTTTTCAGTCAGGTCATCTGGACAGTTTCTTGTTTTGTGCTGAAATGTTTTGTCTTTGGTCCGGAAGGCTTCATCAGTCAAGGAAACACACAACAAAACTGATTCTTCCTCCAACAGCTTACTCCAAAGTGGAACAAACCAGCTCTGCTTGTGATAAGATGCTCTTTTTGGTACGCCCCTCCTCCATTGTCAGCCTTCTTCCTTGTTGACAGTCATGTCAAACTGGTTGAAAACAACAAAGTCCAGTTTCAAAGCTCACTGTCTTGCCAGTAAATGCATGTAATGAGTCTATAAATGTGTTGCTGGTAGAGTTTTTTTGATGTCTTCAATTGTGTCCTGATAGGACAAGAAGCGAAGAAATCTTTTTTGTAATGCCACCATCCTCTCCTCATGGCTTTTCCCCTTTTCTATCTAAAAAGAAACTATTCTGAAAAGGATAAGCGGTCGCGCTCCAGTAGCAGCAGCAACGTGCACTCTGCCCATCTTTCAGACAACTGTACAAACATAATTTCACTGTATTCCGGTACAATGATAATAAAGTTTATTCTGATTCTGATTATAAAGGCCATAAAACTTTAGCTGTGTGCTGCCACTCATGTTACAACATGAACAAAATTACAAAATTATTATTATTTTTGTTATTTAGTGTGCGCGGCTGACAGGTGCGCTCTGTAGTCTAGAAATGACGTTAATGTTAAATGAACCTTTGGTCAGAGGACTGGAGGTCCAGGACTGAACACAACACTTTTTTTTCCAAGGGAGTAAAATGTCAGATTGGATGTTTAAGCTCAAATAGGTGTCTGAAGAAAAACTTTATTTTGTTTTGTTTTCCACATTCTACAGTCAATTTCTCCAGGCAGCATAAAAAAAACCTGTCTTTAAAAAAAGCCTACCTTGCCAAAAATGTGTTTCATTCCCTCCTTTGACATTAAAGAAATGCTTAATTATTCAATTAGAGGCAGCTGATCAGTCCCAAATTAGGTTCTACTGTGCAGGGTGGAAGTAGAAGATAACATTTATTTAAAAAACATAACTCAGAATGAATTTAGTGTACTTTGTATTTTTGAAAGTAAATTTCCAATCTGTACTTTTACTTGAGTATGTTTGATTTTAAGTATTTTACCTGGTTACATTTGAAATTCCATCCGTTATTGAATGTAAAGAATGAATGTGAACATAAATGTGACTTTAAATGAGGAAGAAGAAAAATGCACGTCTGCAGTAATTATCATTATTACTTACTCTTATTCTTATTAATATTAATTATTATTATTCCTCTCCAGTCAGTCGGTGTAAGAACCTGCTAGAAATGATGGCAAGCCATAAAGGAGTTTGACTTCAAAGAAAACCTGTAGAAATCCTGGAGACCACTTTGTCTGCAAGGGTTCAGTTTAATTCAATTCAGTTCAATTCAGATCAAAAATACTTCAATAATCCCAGAGGTAAATTACATGTTGTTGTAAATCATCCTGGTTTCAGTAAATGGTAAATGGACTGTACCTATACAGCTCCTTTCTATCTTAATTCAAGATACTCAAAGCACTTTACAACAATCTGTGTCCTCATTTACCTGTTCATACAGCCAAGGGCGTCAGAAGCATCCGTAATGTGGGGGGGACACAATGATGTGTGTAGGGGTGTGTGTGCACGTGTGCGTGCACGTAAAAAAAGGTTTTCACTAGTGAACAAAAAGCAACATTTCTCCTAGATTTGCTTTAATTCCACACATTTAAAACATGTTTCTCACCAAGTTTGTGTAAATTCATCTGTGGGTTTTAAAGACATTTTAACTTTAATACACTTTAACACAGAGCGTCAGGTCGACACTATTTGTGTTTATAGAGAAATAAAAACCATCACCACTGGACTTTTTACTTGTGTTCAACACTCCTCATCTAAATGATGTTTGTCATGAAGCTTGAGGACAATAAGGTGTGGAGTTTTAAAGACATTTCAACTTTAATGCACCTGAACACACAGAGTCTCTTCCACCTGCAGCGTCTCACAGCATCACAGGTACTGCTGAGATAAGATGCTACAGATGTAACTCCTCTCAAACATCCTCCTAACATGAATATATGTTGATGATCAACCCCTGGTCAACAACTGCGCACACTAAGCTGCTAAACTGGAGAGTGAGGAACACAGGAAACTCCACCTCCTCCACCTGTGCACGTTTTCTGCCAAGGCAGGAGGAGACGGTGGAGAGTTGGAGGTAACCAGGAAAACCTGGAGTGGAGTTTAAGTGGCTTGAATATTCTCCTATTAATCAAGTGGAATGGATTCGTTCACGAAGAAAGAGAAACTGCGCCGCTTGACCTAATGCTTCATAGTAAAAGTGGGGGGGTCCAAATGAACGTTTTTTTAATGTGGGGGGGACTTCTCCCCTTCACATATAATGGTTGCGACGCCTATGCATACAGCTCTATACTAGATCTCTACAAAGCTAATTGAACAAATCATTCTAAAGAGACTAATCAGAGCTTTATCACATTCAAACACCGATAGGACACACATCAGAGGCGATGAGGGGTTCAGTGTCTTGCCCAGGGACACTTGGACATGTGACTGCTGGTGGATTCAAACCCCCAACTCTCGCATTGGAGGACAACTGCTCTAACCACTCAGACACAGCCGCCCCAGTAAAGAGTTGTTCTAGATGCTGATGGCTGTGGGCAGGAAGCATCTCTTGTAGTGTTTGTCCTACATCTGAAGCTCCAAAATTCACAGTTGAAACTCGTGCCTTCGTGTAAAAAGTTGTTTTTCTCTGCAAAAAGAAGCTGAGAACTTGTTTAATGATTTTTTTTATTAAAAGCTCTGTGTGAAAAATGCTAAAGAGCTCAAACCGAGCGCCCGCCATTTTGAAAACTGAAAAACAGGAAGGAGAGACAGCCCATGTCACGTCAAGGGGTCTCCCTCCCATTTTTCTCAAAGAGACACGCTGCTTGCTGTCTCACTATCCATCCTTCAGTTCAAATAGTCTTATACTGCCGTCCGGTGGTCAGAAAAGGTACTACACACAAAAATTAACCAACATTTCTTCTTAAATTAGACAATAATTACTGATTATTGTCAAATTTCAAACAATATTATCGTTTATTGCAATAATTTGAGACAATTAATCAACCAGTAAAATTTGTTCTTGTGACAGGCCTAGTGATGATCTATAAAAATGGATGCTTATTCATTTTCATAAATACATTTTCATTTAGAGGGATCTGAAAACGGGCAGCACGGTGGCGCAACTGGTAGAGCTGCTGCCTCTCAGTGAGCAGGTCCCTGGTTCAAACCCCGGTCCAGGGGCCTTTCTGGGTGGAGTCTGCATGTTCTCTCCGTGCATGCGTGGGTTTTCTCCGGGTACTCCAGTTTCCTCCCACAGACCAAAAACATGCATGTTAGACTGATTGGTAACTCTAAATTGTCCCTAGGTGTGAGTGAGAGAGTGAATGGTTGTTTGTCTCGTTTGTCTCTATGTGTCCCTGTGATGGACTGGAGACCTGTCCAGGGTGTACCCCGCCCCTCACACAGTGATTGTTGGACATGGGCACCAGCGACCCCCGTGACCCAAAATGGAATAAGTGGGTAAAGATAATGGATGGATGGATGGATGGACGGATGGATGGGATCTGAAAACTTTATGCATCCTGTAGGTTCCTTCATTTCATTTTGATCAAACTTCCAGTTTGTCATTTATTGAAAAAAACTAGAATGAAAAAAGACTATTTGCTAAAATAAAACAAAGAAAAGAAAAATCCTCCTGATACAACACTTGCTTTATAACTGTGCACAGTTTCGTTAGACATTTCTATGAAACAATAGAACAACTTACTGGTAACAAAGAACTTCTTGGTGAAAGTGCAGCTGTCAAACGCAGCAATTTTTTCTTGCAGGCTCACCACAAGAATACTGTTGAAAGAAGACAACACTTGATTAGAATGCACTGGAACACATAATGCAAGAGAAGAGAAAAATACTGAGACCTACTGTTTGTTGCAGTGAAGATCGTTGACTGGTGTCTTGAACTGAATTGATTTGACCATTTCTCCGGTTCGTAAAGAATACAAGTCGGCACAACAGTAAGGAGGACTTGTCCTGAATACACACATAAACATGAGGACAAGTCATTTGTACGTTAGACAAGCAGCTAAATGTGACACAACTTCCAAGATTTTACAGAAAAGCACAAACGCTTCTAAAAAGTTTACAGTAATTGTCGGTATGTAGAGCGCACTCTAAAACAAGCCGCGCACACTCAATAAAAAAGGACAATTTTGTACAAATCTAAGGTGCACTTGTGTAAAAGCCTCAGGTGTTCACGTTGTAACCTGAGAGGCAGCTGCTGAGAGATGTGCAGCTCTTGTTGCAGTTCAAGAATCAACCACCAGATGGGGCTTCATAGACTTTACTGTTCAACACAGAGTGACCCTTACAGGTCTTCATGAAACTACCTCCCTCACTCATGCTTACTCTACTGAATGGACTAACACTTAATAAAAGATCTGACGCTCTCGACCTTGACCCCTCTAAGTGACTTCAAACATCTGTTAAGTTCTTGGGAGAAACCAATGCAGACATGCTCCTGTTTTTAGTTTCTACCTTCGCCTTATAATCCAGCTGATTGTTTCTTTCTTTTTGCTACTTTTCCTTTTGGTTGCTATTTGTTTTGATTTGTTAAAAAAATAAAAAATGTAAGATTCTTTTGTGACTGTTTATTATCTATTGTTGTCATTGTTGTCATCACTCTTTGTTAAAGAAATCAAGTCTCTTTTGTAAATGAGTCCCCGAGGCTCAATGGGATTAAACTGTATAAATAAAGGTTGAATGAATAAACACAAACTAACACAAGATGAACACATAAACTAGGCTAACAAGAACGGACTAATCACTAAAAGAACAATGCGAAACAGCTAACTAACATGATTAACAAGGAAGATGAATTTTACCCATAATCCTCCTCTGAGGCCATGTGACCGGCAGCACAGAATCACCTGCATCCGTGGCTATGAAAGTATCAATGTAAATCTAATTGTTTTATGCCTCATGACAAAGTTCATGCGTCCTCTTGCACCTGATCTGTCATCTGATCTATAAAAACCTGACTGACAAACAACATCGTGCTTCTCTAAGTTTCCAACTCCAGTGTTTTTACAACTTCATCTATTAGCAGGACTTGAAGTAATCTAAACTATTTAATTTTATTTAGTATCATTTAATTTTATGATTTATTTAATATTATTATCTAAATTAATTACTAAATTAATCTAAATATCTAAAAAGAGTCCAGCTAAACTGCAGAGGAAACTCATTTCAACCTCCTGTATCCACAACCTGATTGTTTCTGTCACTTCCCAGAGTTCATGGCCAGAGGTGAGGGAGGAACGTAGACTGACCAGTAAACAGAGAGCTTTGTCTTACAGCTCAGCTCCCTCTTCACCACAACGGACCGGCACAGAGTCCGCAATACTGCAGACACTGCAACAACACGTCTGTCTATCTCATGCTCCATTCTTCCCTCACTCATGAACGCCCTGTACTTCCTCAGGCGGCGGAGGCGAGCTGGTCTGGAAGCTCAGTCCTCACCTCCTTCTACAGGTGTGCAGTGGAGAGCATCCTGTGCTCCAGCATCAATGTGTGGCATGGAGGCTGCACAGCTGCAGAAAGAAAAGCTTTGCAGAGAGTGGTGAAGGCTGCACAGAAGATGTTGGAGTCAGCCTCCCCACCATCACAGACATCTACACCTCCAGATGCAGGAAGAGGGCCACCTGCATCATGAAGGACCATACTCACCCAGCACACACACTTTTTCCCCTGCTCCCCTCAGGAAGGAGGTTGAGGAGCATTAAGTGTAGAACCACTAGACTGAGGAACAGCTTCTACCCTGAGGCTGTTAGACTCATGAATCTCTAACCAGAATAATCACTGTGATGCATGTTGGTTGTTGAAATGTGCTGCTGACTATCCATGATGCTGATCTCTTGCTGCTGATTAGTTCATGTTGTTGTGTTCATTAATCCTCATCTGCTCACACAGACTCATGTTTGTGCTGTTGTTGTTTTGGTGCATTGATTTTGTACCATTAGTGCTTAGGGTATTCTTACTTTTTTGTATTCTAAGTTCAGTGACTGTAGTATGTTCTTAGTTCATGTCTTGGACCTTATTACTGTTTTTCTTAAGAGTTTGTATTTTTGTTGGATGTAACTGGGACCCTATGTACAAACCGGGTTCCAAAAAAGTTGGGACACTAAACAAATTGTGAATAAAAACTGAATGCAATGATGTGGAGATGGCAAATGTCAATATTTTATTCGTAATATAACATAGATGACAGATCAAAAGTTTAATCTGAGTAAATGTAACATTTTAAAGGAAAAATATGTTGATTCAAAATTTCACAGTGTCAACAAATCCCAAAAAAGTTGGGACAAGTAGCAATAAGTGTCTGGAAAAAGGAAACTGAGCATATAACGAACAGCTGGAAGACCAATTAACACTAATTAGGTCAACTGACAACATGATTGGGGATAAAAAGAGTTTCCCAGAGTGTCAGTGTCTCTCAGAAGCCAAGATGGTAAGAGGATCACCAATTCCACCATTGTTGCACAGAAAGATAGTGCAGCAATACCAGAATGGTGTTACCCAGCGTAAAATAGCAAAGACTTTTAAGTTATCATCATCAACCGTGCATAACATCATCAAAAGATTCAGAGAATCTGGAACAATCGCTGTGCGTAAGGGTCAAGGCCGTAAAACTCTACTGGATGCTCGTGATCTCCGGGCCCTTAAACGTCACTGCACCTCAAACAGGAATGCCACTGTCAAGGAAATAACAGAATGGGCTCAGGAATATCCTGATGCATGCTCAGGGCTCAGGAATACTTCCAGAAAGCATTGTAAGTGAACACAATCCACCGTGCCATCCGCCGTTGCCAGCTGAAACTCTACAGTGCAAAGAGGAAGCCATTTCTAAGCAAGCTCCACAAGCTCAGATGTTTGCACTGGGCCAGGGGTCATTTAAAATGGAGTGTGGCAAAATGGAAGACTGTTCTGTGGTCAGATGAGTCACGATTTGAAGTTCTTTATGGAACACTGGGACGCCATGTCATCCGGACCAGAGAGGACAAGGATAGCCCAAGTTGTTATCAACGCTCCGTTCAGAAGCCTGCATCACTGATGGTATGGGGTTGCATGAGCGCTTGTGGCATGGGCAGCTTGCATGTCTGGAAAGGCACCATTAATGCAGAGAACTATGTTCAGGTTCTAGAACAACATATGCTCCCATCTAGACGTCATCTCTTTCAGGGAAGACCCTGCATTTTTCAACACGATAATGTCAGACCACATTCTGCAGCAATCACAACATCATGGCTACGTAGGAGAAGGGTCCGGGTACTGAAATGGCCAGCCTGCAGTCCAGATCTTTCACCTATAGAGAACATTTGGCACATCATAAAGAGGAAGGTGCGACAAAGAAGGCCCAAGACAATTGAACAGTTAGAGGCCTGTATTAGACATGAATGGGAGAGCATTCCTATTTCTAAACTGGAGAAACTGGTCTCCTCTGTCCCCAGACGTCTGTTGAGTGTTGGAAGAAGAAGGGGGGATGCCACACAGTGGTAAAAATGGACTTGTCCCAACTTTTTTTGGGATTTGTTGATGCCATGAAATTTGGAAACAACAGATTTTTCCCTTAAAATGAAACATTCTCTCAGTTTAAACTTTTGATCTGTGATTTGTGTTCTATTCTGAATAAAATATTAGATGTTGGCACCTCCACATCATTGCATTCACTTTTTATTCACAATTTGTTTAGTGTCACAACTTTTTTGGAATCCGGTTTGTACATACTGTAGTTTTGTTCCACCTCATGTACCACATGTGGTGTGAATGGCAATAAAAATCCTTGAATCCTTTAAGATTCAACTTGTCTGCTGCTTCCTTGGATAGAGAACTTTACTATTTGGCTTTTACGTGAATGTTCCTGTAAAGTGCCCTGAGACAACTTAGTTTTGATTTGGCGCTATAGAGATAAACTGAAATGAATCCTCTCCATCCTCAGCAATCTGTGCCTCATTCACCCATTCATACAGCACTCTACTAGATCTGTACAAAGTTAACTGAACAAATCATTCTAAAGAGACTAATCAGAGCTTTATCAATCAATCAATCAATCAATCAATCAACCTTTATTTATACAGGTAAATCCCATTGAGCCTCGAGGACTCATTTACAAGAGAGACCTGATTTAACAAAGAAAGATGACAACAATGGACAACAGCGACAACAATAAACAGTTATAAAAAGTCATACTGCAGTTTTTTTGTTTGTTAGTTTTGTTTTGTTTTTTTAACAAATAGGATGGCTAAAAGGAAAAAGGTAACAAAACAAAAAACAGCTAGATTCCAAGACAAATGTAGAAAACTAAAAACAGGAACATGTCTGCATTGGACCCTGCCAGGTGTCCAACAGATTCTTAAAGACACTTAGAGAGGTCAAAGGTCGAGAGCTTCAAATCTTTTTGTAAGATGTTCCAGGAAACAGGAGCGGAGTAGGAGAAGGTCCTTTTGTCTAGTTCAGTCCTCACTGAGGGAACACTGCAGGTAATGATGTCCTGAGAGCGCACGCTGTAGCTGCACTCACGCAGAGACATGTAGGAGGAGATGTATGAAGGCAGCAGACCAGGAAGTGATTTAAAGATGAAAATGTACCAGTGGGAGAGTCTGCATGAAGTTAATGATGTCAAGTTAACCAGTGAATACTGGGTGCAGTGGTGGGTACGGTAGTTACAGCCAGTTATGAATCTTAGTGTACCATGATAGACAGTATCCAACATCTGCAGCATCCAACATCTGCAGCATCCAACACCTGCAGGGTTCTTGTAGGATCGTTCATGTAAATAATGTCACTGTAATCAATGGAGGGAAGGAAAGTCACAGATACAAGGTGTTTTCACATCATCACATTCACACACTGATGGGACACACATCAGAGGCAACGAGGGGTTCAGTGTGTTGCCCTGAGACACTTTGACATGTGACTGCTGGTGGATTTGAACCCCCAACTCTTGCATTGGAGGTTGACTGCTCTAACCACTC